TACATAAAAATGTATGGATGAAAAATAGGGCGTTCTCTTATTCCTTATCTAGACTTTTTTTTTTAAATAAAGAAATGCTGATGAGATCTTACTTGGATATTTTTATAAAGATGCCAAGTCGTGATTGTTTGATGCATTACTTTCTCAAATCTCACCAGGCTGTAAAATAAATGAGTTCCATACTATGCTATAAAGAATATCTACTTGACATGTCTAGTTGTCTGAGTAAAATTAGTCATGTGCTCTGTATCTTTACCTTGATTATTGTATTTGGAGTGTCCTTGGTGCCACTCCTTATCCCCCGGCTCTCTCTGGTTATTGTGGTAAGTCAAGAAAGAGGCTTCAGAACAAACTTCTGCCTGTTCCTCCAACCTCTCCACTCCTGCAATTTTTATATTTCCACACATGGGGAGAAAAAAATAACCATAACAACAATATTTAGGCTGCAATTACGGGAGAGTAAAATTCTATGTCTGAGAGCAAATGAAGGATGATGGTTTCTCATGGTCAAACACACCACACCACAACGCTAACCTAAAAATACACTGAGTCTGGTCTGTTTGCTCACTGCAAACAAGAACACAATGGAGACTTGCTATGAGGTTTACGCTAATTCTCTTCAACAAGCATAAATCAGATGCTAATAGGATATGGATGTTTACTGCTTGAGTAATTTTGTGAGCTTTCATGTACAACAATAAATAAACATTGATGTTTAAAGGCGTGAGTACAGGAACAAATTAAACTAGAGCATGCAGATAAGCTCAGTAGGTCTGTCCCAGTGTGTATTTGATAGATCAGAGTCAGAGGTCTTTAAAGAGGAATCGGCAGACTCCCAGGTGCCTCGTCTCCCACAAATGATCTTCCCCTTATCTAAAGCCTGCAGGCTAAAGCCCACCTGTAGTGATACCTTACACAGGTACTTTGTTTTCTGTGGATTGGAAGAGAACATATAGAGCTGTGTGTTTTGGTATCAAACAGTTGTAAATGTTTATATTGTTATTCTGTTGAAATCAAATTTGCCTCTGTTTACTTATTTACTTTTACTTTACTTTTTTACTTTTAGTCATTTAGCAGACGCTCTTATCCAAAGCGACTTACAAATAAGAAAAAGTCATTAAAACTAAAAGCTAAAACTATATATACTGTATATACACATTTAAGAAAATAAAATAAATTAAATAAAAATATTATTTATTTATTATTTATATTATTTAAAATATTCAATAAATTTACTTATTTAATGTACGTTTCTGGTCTTATTGTGAATCATTCATATGTTTATGCTAATATCTGAAGAAAAATAGTTTGTCTTAATCTTTAATCCAAGCAATAACTTGCTCTTCCTCTAAAATGACTTTCATTTTTTTGGTGCCATGCTATGTATAATGTTAACCAACACCTATTGTTCATTATTTTTTTGTCAAAATCGCATTCTGCCCATGGCTTCATTCTGGTATGTAACAGTTTCCCTAATCCAATCAATTATCAATGGTTAAAATTAAGTCCCATGCTACATATTTTCTTGCTTACTTTCTTGTTTGCTCTTCACTAACCTGCACAATAAAGGTAAATAAAATATTTTGTGCTGTACAGGATGTATTCAAAAAAGTCCATTATGGAAATGAGACACAATGATTTTATGGGTCAACACTGATGGCTTTTAAGAGGGAATGGAGGAGGGGCTTTATCCCAGATTAAGTAGTCATTAGCTACAGTCTTATCAGATGTTGAGGCATTGTTTAATACATATCTGAGTCTTTTCCTCTTACCCCCCACACAGACTTACACATACTGTATGTGTGCAGGCCAGTACACACTAAGCACAAAGGCTAGGCAAATAGATATTACAAAACAGAGCTACACATATACAAACCACTCTCCTGTGTATTTGTATTTACATAGATGTATTTAGATGAGCATTTGACCCTTGTCTTGAGTCATGTCATGTTGATAGTATTGGAGTTATTGATTTTTATTCCCCTGAACTTCAAGGAGTTTCACTGACAATGTCAAGCTGTTTCTTAAACTGGGCTGTATCTCAGTATGAAACATGCTTGGTCTTTTATAGAGTGCTGACACTGTTTTGAGGTCTACATTCTCAGGCCAGGTACACAATAGCAAGGAATAGTAAACAGACAGTAAACAACATTAAAGAGAGAGTAAACAGCCACATCAGCACCAATTTAACCATTGTTTGACCCATAACACACGTGGACACAAGTGCTCAAAACACTGATAATTCTTTAAAATACAAATGTTGGTAGCTTTCAGAATTTTAATGAATGCATATGCTGCTATATTTGTCATGATGTCTGAGATCATTCAAGTTGGAAGTTTCCTCAGACCTTCAAGTCATACGATAACAAATATCAGGGATGTTCTCCAGGGTATGAGCTGAAGTCAAGAGGTCAGGCTTGAAAGGCAGTTGTTTCCTAGTTATTTCCTAGACTGTTTAGGGTTTCAGTGACACTGTCAAATAAATACTGGGTGCAACCCCCACTCAAAGGTGTATAGACTCATGTCATGGTTTAAGATTTATGACCTCTCCATTCAACATCGTAGTCTGGATACCACATTTACTTCCAAAGATACAGCCCACATAGACTTTATTATGGATAAACAATTTTGTTGAGTAGAATGGAAATTGGTCCTTACAAGCAGGTTGTGTGTATGTTTTTATATAATCAAATGTGTTTAATTCTACAATTTGTATGATTTATAGGTTTGTCCTCCTCAGCAAAATCAAAAAACCTGATGTTATCAAATACATGTAGATGAGCTGTGCTGTGTATTTCTGCATAAATAAATTGAAACCCGCAGATCATCATTATTTGGAGATGTGCTTCGACTGACCATCAGACATTATGGTTCCAGTGTTGCACTCTGTTCTCCAAACCCAGTACGGGGTAAATTAGGAGCAGATACGGGCAACCCTGACCTGGCATAGTTCTCCTCAGCTGGAGCCACTGCTGGAAAAGCCATTTCTCCACAACATGCAAACAAATATAAAACAAATGGTGTACAGCCATGTAAAGAGAGGGGGAACAAATGTTAGCAAATATGAGGTCAGAGACTGAGTTATGAGCTCACTGCCTAATTGCAAAAGTTGCTTTAAACGATCATATGTGCCAATCTTTTGCACGAAGCAAATCTGAATTGATGAAGGTGCACATTTAAGAGTCGTTTCATTTATTCCAGAAGTTTGTATTGGCAAGTATTATATCTGTGCCCCCCTTAAGGCTTTAACTGCTCATTGGTTGGTTGTGTGCATAGTCTGACAGACATCTATGAGTGATCCTTTTGACTATTTTTGATTCCATTTAACATACTGTATACATGTCAACCATGGCTTTATGGTATGGTGGTGCATGTTTAGCTATCTGTGCCTACTCCATTCAGTGGAGTTTGGGCACAGTTTTAAAACCAGAGAAAGAAGTATTGGCACAGAAACCTGGGTAAATAACAACACTGTAGTCAAAGCAAAACCATCTTCCTTTGGGGTTTGATGCATTTGGCTTTGACAAGCTGAGCCCCCAGCCAACATTTACTAAAACATCTGACAACACTCTTTCTGAGGACTTTTCAAAATTAAGCTAGAAACTAATGGATTGTAAAGCACCGTCAAACTCACTGGATGATTCTTTTCACATGGAGACTTTCTTTGAGCTACTTGTCATATGGTTGATATTGTGTAGAGCACAGTAATCTTGGCCTCCTCTGTTCATTAGAGACAAAATCCGAAACCATTGTGAAAAACAAACTAAATAAATATCAAACTACTTTAAAGCCACCTCTTATGACGTCTCAATTTGATCTTTTATTCTTTGGCTGAACCTCAACTTTAACTTTTATGTGATTCATAAACATTTTAGTATACAAATCAGGAAGTTTTATGAGCTCCTTTAAGAAACCGGTGAACAGGGAAAACAAATGCGAGTGCTCAAATTCACCCAAATGCAGACAGAGCTTTTGTCTTAATAAGACTTTGGAGTCAGTGTGTAATAACAGTCCTCTGTTTGGCTATCATAGGACTGGGAAGCAAGAACCAGTTCATATTCAGACCAGGTTAAATCTCTTAAAAATACGGGATTTTCTCACTAAGTGCAGACTCATTTTTATAACACTGTGCTAAAATATTTTGACAGTGTTTGCTACTATTCAGCATTGCCTCAGTATTGAATCCACAGTGTGAAATTTACATCAGCAGCAATCAGTGTAGACCGATACGGAAATCAATTGCTTAATGAGCAAGCTAGTGAATGTAATGTGCTTTGAGTGAAGTGTAATTAACCAACAAACGACTCATATCAAAAGAACTGTAGCATGCTAAATTTATATATGATTTATATCTGTTCTGTTGAAATCAAATGATCCCATAATTTGGCATAACAAACAAATCTCTAAAATATTTCTTCTTAAAAGTTGCCGGGTAATAAGACTTTAAAGGCTACAACCAAAATCAAGCTGTCTGGAGATCTTGTTTTGCACAACGTTGAAAAGGCTGACTAGATGCAATAGATGAGCTGGCGCATTTTAGACCAAGAACCCAAAAATAATCAGTTAAACAAACGGCTGTATTCACTGTAGACTAAGCTTTAAATATCAGCTGAGCGCTTGCAGAACAGATATTCATGACAGTAGAGTTTTAAGAACAAGACCTGACGTTCATTAAACAGTACAGCGTACAGTATCATAAATTATCCGGCAGCCCATTCAGAACTCTTCAGATTCATATTGAACACATAAACTCTTTCGCGTGCGTTTACTTGCTGGGACCGTTCATTTAGAGGGAGTGCTACGACATGTATCCCATTTCAATGAACTCTGTGATCTGTTTATGGACAGTCGGACAGTGAGGAGCGCTAATACACTGAATCGCCCGCAGATGGTCGTCGCTGATTGGTGGACATTTAGACCCCCACCTTTTGCCCATCAGCCGGTGCCACTATCTCAGTATAGTTTACACACGCACACACACACACACACACACGCCGACTGTCACTGCTCAGCAGTTCTGTATGTACCTGCGCTTTGCAAACAGAAGCGGTGCGCGTTACCCTAATGAACCCGGTGGATTTGACTTGAGGAACGACAGAAACAGGGCAGTTTAAACAATTAGCAATGTCTCATTATTGCATTGCATGGATTTGCGGATTGTTCCTTTCCCCGTTTTTGAAGAGGTAACAGTAAAGGTGCATACATGACAACATGGATTGCCTTTTCCTTTTGCTCTGGAGTTTACAAGTCCCTCTGGTAAGCAGCACATCAGTGATATTATTGGCGACTGTGTCGTTTGGGAACTTTATAAAGGCAGGTGACACGCTGAGAATTCATTATTTATTATACATATGTTTTATACTCGTTGTACTTATCAAGTTAATCGTGGTGAGTTATTTGCACATTTGCAGGCTTTGCAGTTCTGTTGCTTCCACTCTGTAACATCGGTCTCATTTACCGGCGACCCCGGCGTCCTCTATCAAGGTTTGTGTCTTTACGCGCTTCACCTGTATTTCTATTCTGATTGATGACAAGCCAGTTATGGATGCCGATGCATGCTTTCGCGCGCTATTTGAACCAAAGATCCCTACCTGGATATACCTGTACACATAAAGATATAAATACGCGGAAGCATGCCACACAGATCCGGTGAATTAAGAGACTTACAACATAAATATACTCCCAAATATGAGTTTCCTGTGCCGGTGGTCGTGCGCTAGCACGCGTGTGGGCGCATTAGAAGGATTCCCTCATCTCTTATCTACCGCGTATTGAGCTAGTCACAGAGAGTTTATTGTCTTTTTATTTAATATTTACAATACCAGTCAAACGTTTGGGAACGCTTGACTAAATGTATGTTTATGTTGAGCTATTGGCGAAATGCTTGACATTAGGTTAGTGGCTACAAGGAATACAAGTTAATTTATTCCTCATTTCCACAGCTTGCGCAGGCTACACTGGGCGCTGAAATGTTTGAAATCTCATTCAGAAATATGAGACAGTACAGAAAGTTTGCATACAGACATTGTGTATGTTGATATTGCAATATTAAATAAAGTTTAAACAGTGATATACCGATTTAGAGTCAGGAGGTAAATTCTTTACTTTTTTATTTGAAATTTTTTTTAATGGATTAGTTAGACCAGATATAGGGGAAGTAAATAAGCCAACAAGTATTGACAAGACCCCATGAAATGGTTTGACAGTGCAGTTTTCCTTTCTTTATTTGAGAACGTTTGATTGGTCAAAAACCTTTATAGTGCAGGATGAGTCATCAATATAACTAGTGATGGATTGGTATTGAGTCAGGTGATTTTAAATGTGTTTGTTCCCTCACAGATTATGATTTTGCCACACCAGTGGAAGTGGACTCACTTGGAGGCTTCATTTCCCACGATGTGTCAAGACATGGAAGGAGCAAGAGATCCCTGTCAGAAGTTGGTGGTCCAGTGCATTATCATGTCTCTGCATTTGGCAAGGAATTACACTTAGACCTGCAGCCATCCCATGTGCTGGCAGAGGGGTTTACCGTACAGACACTGGGTGCAGAGGGCATCAATACAGCCACCCTTGACCCTTCTATTCATAACTGTCTCTATCAGGGTTCCATCCGAAACCATTCTGAATCCTCTGTGGCTATATCCACCTGCACAGGTCTGGTAAGTGGCTCCTTTTACACTCAGTCAAAGATTCACTGACTCCAAAATGAGCTACATCAATGTCTTTCATAGGCAACTGCTTTTAAAGAAGGCATTCATACTGAAATGAAACCTCATAAGCGACTGATTTTAAATGATCTATATTGGCAGCAACTTATGAATCATGCATCATATGAAAGCATTTCATTCAACAAATGTTTTGGAAGTTTGTAATTATTTCAGTAATCAACTATCATCTTGGATTTTTTTCACTGATCTTGTTGCAGAGCATTCTGGGATTGACTTGTGATGTTGTTTTTGAATTTGACCAAAGCATATTTTAAGAGGTAGCGTAATTAAGTTATGTCACTTAGACTTTGCACTGCTATATATTGACATTGATCAGTAGGATTATCTCTGAGTTTTATGTAAATTACATGAATAATAATGAGTTTTACACAATAATTATTTCCCTTACCTGTCCAAAAATAAAAAATAAAAATAAGAGAGAGAGAAGCATGAAAATTCTATCATTAAATCAATGTTTTCACTTGTTTTTTGTCCCCTGGACTGTAGAGTCAGCTTATTAGATTTTGGAACAAAGGTTATATGTGCTGTCCATTGTTTGTTTACTCATTAAGTACATGGAAAATTTCATTTCAGTAATCAACTATCATCTTGGATTTTTTTCACTGATCTTGTTGCAGAGCATTCTGGGATTGACTTGTGATGTTGTTTTTGAATTTGACCAAAGCATATTTTAAGAGGTAGCGTAATTAAGTTATGTCACTTAGACTTTGCACTGCTATATATTGACATTGATCAGTAGGATTATCTCTGAGTTTTATGTAAATTACATGAATAATAATGAGTTTTACACAATAATTATTTCCCTTACCTGTCCAAAAATAAAAAATAAAAATAAGAGAGAGAGAAGCATGAAAATTCTATCATTAAATCAATGTTTTCACTTGTTTTTGGTCCCCTGGACTGTAGAGTCAGCTTATTAGATTTTGGAACAAAGGTTATATGTGCTGTCCATTGTTTGTTTACTCATTAAGTACATGGAAAATTTAAAGTGGCTACCAATGTTGCTAGTATGCAGACATGTTCGAGTTACAGTTAGTAAAGTATACATTGTGCCTGTAGGAACTTAGGAAGTATAAGTGTGCCTCAGAGAATATAGTATAGTATATAGTGTGCTGTGTGCAAGAAGAGCTTATTAAAACAGGTCAACTGGAGCACTGAAGTGCAGACGTAGTGGAGCACTGGTCTTTATGTTTTCCTACATAGAGGATCACATCTCATCTTGGATGGTGGGCTACTGTAAAATCATACCCAGAGTTCTGCTGACGTTCTCTGCCTCTGCTCCCTGCTCTTTTGTTTAGTGTTTGCTCTGCTTTCCTGTCTCCCTTGTTCTCCACAATTAAAGACAGAGTGAGGTTTCAGGAGCTTGGCTGGCAGCGCTAATCTTTGCATTGTCCTTTTCATTAGTGGTAGCATCTCCACAATAAAACAGCAGTGACCCATTCTTTTAAAACTGTGTGACAACACAATGTGATTTGAGAGCAATTGCATCTGAATAGACTGCAGGGACTCTTTGATCTACTCCCCCTTCTTTTGAAGCTCTTTTTTTCTGAACGATGGCCCAAGCTCTAGGTGATTCTCTCGGTGGTCTTAAAGGTGCCCCAGTTTCAGATATACAGGATGCCAAACGAGACCTGTGTGTCCCTTTAGATTTTGTGCTTAAATGTACAGAAGCAAAAGGAAATATCCTAGAAAAAAGGGGTCTCTCACTCTGTCCCTCTGCCTCTTTCACTCTCCCTTTCTTTGTTGGAGTGAAAAAGAACGAGTCACTGAGGATTTTAACCCTTCCATGTCATCTCCGCTTGATGAGGAGCTTTGGATTAAGTACAAATGAGAACCCATTCATCCCTCTGCTGATCCGCAGCAACCCCTTGTGCCGTGAAAGGCCGAGGAGGCAGTTGCTTAGAGAGAGAGAGGTTTTGTGTTCCGAGAATGCCAGTCCAAAAGTAAAATCAATGTGGATGAGAACCCCCACAGTCGGTACATTCAGAGGTAATGCTGTCCATTAGGTTAGTGAGTTGATGAAAGTCTGATTTGCTTGTACTAGTTCTCTTGCTCTCTGTTAAACAGTGCATAACATAGCAGATGGACAGGGATTCAGTTGTAAAATAAAGAACAGGCGCTCCCGGCCTTTAAATCAGGAACAGAGGGATTTACTCGCTAAATCCTGCTTCATTTAAAGTTTTTAATTACTGAGCGCCCTTCAATTGATGTTATCACTTGCCTCGAATGGATTGTCTGGCCCCAGATTATGCGGCATGATCAAACATCTTCCATCCAACCCTAAAACAAAACACATCATCGTAGTAATGAAATGCTGCTTGATTTGTGGATTAGTTTAGTCATGTGTGCTGTTTCGAGGTTGGTTCAAAAGCTTCTAGAAGGGCAGTATCCAGGATGGCATATGAATGCCAGTCCCAATGCTGCTTCAGTTTGTAAAAGCTGATTAGCAGGTGGAGCTTCTGAAGTACTCCTCTGCTACTTCTTGTTCAGAGGTCAGAACTTCCACCGGATCAATTTGTGGGGTCGCATGGTTGTGCAAGTTCAGAGATCTTCCAGCCTAGGCATAGACAAATCCACATCCTCGGGCCTTCTCTGGGTCACGGTTCCATATGACTGGTGACAGGTTCAAGCCCATCCCCCTTTGAAATGGCTGATCCTGCTTTCTAGACGTGTTTTAACTGGCTGAGCTACTATGCCATCCAGAATTGGCACTAGTACCACAATGAAAGGGATTAGAGATCTTCCATTATACTGTTCAACATGGATTATTGATGTATGATCTATTCTGGTAGTGTTGCTATATTTAGTTGTTATGATTCGTTCGACACATGGCCACTCATTCGGTAACTTTAACACATTCACTGCCCTTTTTGGAGCAGGTAATGAGACCGTAGACTTGACGTTCCTTATCAGTTTATGTTAACTGATGCCATTGCTTGCTAACAATTAGCATGTTAGCAAACTCTGCTGGGTAGGATAGCAACTGGTTGACTAAATAGCCTTAGCTTTTGAAATGCTGACATTGTGAATCCGTTAATTATCTCTGTCAACATGCATGGCTGGAAAACTTCCCACTGCCTTTATCATGATCTCCAACTGGATAGAGCTATTTACTGCTATTTCCTAATATTTTAGTAAAACCTTTACTTGCTGTTTTGTGTTCTAAATGAAGGAAATCCTCAGCTTTGTTGATTGTTTGTCTTTGTTACTATTCAGTGCACACTGCCAAAGCAATTAAATGCTGCTATTTGGAACTTTTTATACATCGAAAATCCTGAAAAATGTGTCATGGCATCCACAGAAATATTAAGCAGCACAACTGTTTAGTAATAATAAGAAATGCTTCTTGAGCAGCAAATCAGCATATTAGAATGATTTCTGAAGGATGACGTGACACTGAAGACTGGAGTAATAGCTGCTGAAAATTCAGCTTGGCCAACATTACATTTTTCAACTTTGCCAACAATATGAAAGTTACATTTTAAAATATATAAACATTTGAAGACTTTTATTTTAAATTGGAATAGTAATTCAAAATATTGTACTGTATTTTTGATCAAAGAAATGCAGCCTTGGTGACTTCTTTCAAAAATGTAAAAAAAATTATACCGACCCCAAACTTTTGAAGGGTAGTGTATTTTCTACTACATGTTCTCTCTAGCTCTCATATACAGATAAACCCAGCATTTCATGATTAGGACAGAAATGTGAAAGAGAGTTTTTCAGAGTTCACCAGGCAGACAACTGAGTATAGTTAATTATCCTCCTGGTCTTTTGAATGGTTTGCAAGCAGGGCTTTGTAGGGCAGGGGATTCACTAGATTTGCCCTTCAGTGAATTTCAGTTCTTTCCAAACATGTCCAATCATGCTGAACTCAGACATGACCTTTCCCAAGCCCCTCATTGTCTCTTCTGTTCACAGTCAGACTGTCATTTCTTTTGCCTGGTTAAAGTTTACATGACAGGACATAGGAAATAAGTTCTTATATGAGTAACTTATTCAAGCCCACCTTTAAAATAAGGATCTGATACACATATTGAATGAACTGAATTAATGTTAAGCCTTCATAATTGTACTGATAGAGGAGATTATGTGACATTCAATATGTGAATGAATGTAAATGATATATTTTATGTAAACTGTGCTAACAGGTAAAAACAAATGACTGAACAGATAATTAATCAATTATGCACAAATGTTACAAGTTGTTAGTCACATTTGCTGAACAGGTTTCCCACAGACTCTCTCTCTCTCTCTTGGGTCTTTGGGGGGTGGGGGTGCTTCATGAAGTCTTTTTGGATGCCAAAGTGTTCTTTTATCTTTTATGGACAGCCCGGCCCATAGACCAGCCTTGTGGGTGCTAGACTGTCTGTGAATTTGTGAGGTGTGTATGTGTGTGAATTGCTGCTGAAGCACTTCAGCTGTGTTTATTTAGTACCAGACCTGCTGGTTCAAGCTGATGCGCTAACGTGTGGGATTGCACTTAGGGGCAGTTGTGATGCTAATTCACTCTGACTGGAAAGGAGGAAAGCTGTCAGTGCGCTCAAAGCTTGTGTGGATACACTGCGGTGAGAGTACAGCACCGGGCCATTCAAACATCAATGGAAGAGAGAGGCTGAATTACCATTTACAGACTCCGAGAGCAGATCTGTAGTGCTTGTCTGATGCAGGAAATTGTGAGAAAATGCTTTGGGGTTTCCGTCAGACATGTTTGTTGTCATGATTGGTTCTTCTTCCTGGCATCATAAATTAAGTATAGATGCATTGGGTAGTTGCATTATAATTTAATATCAAGACTGATTCTTTTTATCATGATTTTGCATAAATAACTCAAGATACTTGTGCCTATAGCCTATATATATATATATATATATATATATATATATAACATTTTGTGGATATATATACTTGAAGCTGTTAGGGGTTATTTA